GCGGACCCCGCACGGCGCGCTCACCTGCGCCGCGTCGGCCATGGGGCCCGGCCCCGCGTCTCAGGCGGACGGAGTCCTAGCAGCGCCGACACACGCGCGCTGCGGCGGGGCCTCCTCCCCCACGGGGCGACGTGACGCCGTCCCGGGAGCCCACCGCCCACAGCGGACAGGGAAACGGCCCGCGGCGCCGGAAGTCCCGCCTAACCCTACTGCCAGGCACGTCACTTCCCCGTGCCGGGGCGGAGCGCTTGGCCGTTGCCAAGGCGATAGGGGAGGGCCGGCGTCTGCGTGCGGACCACACTTCCCATAAAGCACCCCGCCTCGCGTCCGCACGCAGGGGCCAAGGGCAGCCCGGAGGCCTGTTTCCGGCCTGGCAGCGCCGCCGGGGGCGGGACTTCCGGCGCCGACCTCGATGCTCGCTTCGGACCCGCGAGGGTGGTGGGTGTCTGTTTTCTGTTCCCGCCGCGTCAGGGAGGCTGCTCGGGCTCAGGACGCCGGCGTGGCGGAGGCTCGAGAGACGAGGGAGTTGCGCCGTCGTGCCTTCGGTGCGCCCGGGCCGCGGCGACTGTGCTTCCCAAGCCCCGCCGTCGCTGGTCCGAGGTTCCACCGCCAAAGGGTCCGTCGCGCGGTGGCGTGCCTGCCCGGGGCGCGTTCCCTCGCTTCCCGTCGCCTTCGGAGCGAGTGCCGGGCCTTGGAAAGGAGTGCGGTTCCGTGTACGCTGGACCCGGGGCCGAGCTTCACAGGCCCGCTCTGTGCTGCTGCGGACCGTGGGTGTCGTGGGGGTTCGCGTCTGGGTCTCGGCGGCGTTGTCTTCGGTGCCCGGCACCCACTCCATGGATAGAAGCAGCATCTGGCCATTGGATTCCTCATCCATCCAAACCGGCTCGCTGGTTTTTCCTCTGCTTTTCCAATGTTGCCGCTGGCGTTCGTGGGAAGACCACACTGCCTCCTCGCTCATTCTAACCAGGGGTTGTGGGTGCCCGAGGTCTGGGGTCAGAAGTCTAAATCTTAACAGCCGACGCTGTCCAATTTAGTTCCGACCTCTGAAATGCCAGGCTCTGGCTATCATGGTTGGTTGTGGGGTGATTATTGTCACCACTGGAGTCGGTCGTGCGGCGAGTTGGCCTCTCCTGGGCAGAGCTGTACAAACCAAATGCCCTTCACAATATGCAGTATGTATATTCCATCGTCACCTGGCATGACAAGATGAACTCAAAACCAGCTGTAGTAATTGGGAATGGTGATGGGTGCCTGTAATTCCAGTACACTGGGAGGCTGAGGCAGGAGAAGCACAAGTTTGAGCACATCTGGGACAACTTAGCACGCTATCTTTAAAAAAAAACAACTGGATATGTAGTTGGTCTTTCTCAGTTTTTACAGCCTTCTTCCTGGTGACACCTATGTGTTCTTGCAAGTGGAGGTGAGCACAGGTGGGTCTCTCTCAGCTTATGGTCAGTAGCCATGAACTACTCCAGGCTGGATTCTTACCAACCTATATGTTTTTCAGGTGATTGGAGAATAAACTCCATGTTTCCCCAGCTGGAGCAGTAAAAAGCACTGATTTATGGGCTAGATCGATTTGAAACCAGGGATGGTACAATAGGTCCACAGAGGCTTAGTCACAGAATTACAAACAGGGTAGGAGTGTCCCTGGAGTTGAGTCAGTCTCGTGTCTCAACTGTCTGGTTAGCAGGTATGGGGGTCTCACCCAGGTTCTTGTCCTAAACAAAGAATTGAGCGAGATACCCAAAAGCAGGAGCAAGATGAAAGGTTTGACAGAAAAGTACAGACACATGCCACAGGGTGGAAGTGGGCCAGTGAGAAGAGCTCATAGTTGAGGGGGCTTGGTGTTGAGTTTTAAGCCTTAGGGTTGGGGATAGGGTTGATATGAGGTGTCTCTCCTGCAGAGAAGCAGTTTGACTCAGCCCCTCTATTGGGCAGTGGAGGTTTTTTTTTTTTGACATTTTATAGTTCTTAGAGGAACTCCTGTCATCCAAAGCACACAGGAGGATGTCAGATCTGTAGTCAATGACATGATAATTAGGGTCGGTGCAGCGGTCTGCTGGGCACCTGCCCTGGGACTTACAGTGTATAAGCTGTTACCTGGTTATCTTTTCCTGTTGTATTTACACCTATGCTCACAAGATTGATCTAGTACCAGAAAGTGGGGTACACAGCAGCCTGCCTCTACCTTTCCTGTCCGAGTACCATGGTCAGTGGCCTTGCCACTTTACCTTCCTGATCCCCTGCTCACAGACACCTTCCTAACTATTGGCTGTTCCTGGCTGTCCTCACCTCTCCCCTCTTACAGTCTGGTTCTAGCACACTGGCCACTGTTGAACATGTCGTAGGCTGATACATATCCTTAGTTATTGAAAACTTGTTCCTCTGTGAAGGTTTGTTGCCTCCTGTGGTTGAGGTAGAAGTGTGGAAGATCCACCATGGCCCGAGGCTCAGAGGCTGTGCTTGCTGTGGGTCGCAGCCATGGGGAAGCAGCACCAGACTGCAGTCCCTACTCACCACTAGCAGGCTTCCAGTGTTTGTCTGGCACTGCCTCCTTGGGCCTTCTTTTGGTTTCATTTTCCCAAGTCAGATTCCCTGGGGACTGCAGGGTCAGGGGATGAGATAATGGAGCCTTATGAAGGAGACTAGTGGTTGGTTTCTAGACCTTAATGGCAGGTCTCCTGGGACAGGTCCTGGTGACATCCTCTTTTCAGCATTGCTTAGGACTATGCAACCCTCTCTATGAACAGACCTAACTACTGCTGCTTCAGGATAACTGGGGGATCAACACAACCACCACAATTCCTCAGACTGAGTGCTAGGCTCCACGCATGATCCTGACATCCAGGCCTCAAGCTTTGTCCCACAGAGATCTGTACTCTTTCCGAGGAGAGAGTGATGCAAATGAGGCCAAACTTGAATGTATACCTGTTTCCTACCTTCCTACTGCTCCCTCTGAAGTCAAGATCCTCACGAAAGTCTTGGCCATTTAGGCAAGCAGAGTCCAGTTCTGTTCTCTGTCACCCCACTCGGTGGAATCTCCAGATTAAAAGTGGTTTAAACTACTTGTCACACAATGCAGGGCATGGGAGCAGACACATGCAGGAGTTGGAAACAGAGCATCTGCGGGTACTATAGGGGGTGAACAATGTCTGTGAAGAAAGGAGTCTGTCTCTGGAAGCCCTCTTGGTAAAGAGTGGGTCGTCCATACCTCAACCTGGGAGTGGAGATAAGGAGGATCTCATGATCCCTTCTAGGAAATAAGAGGAAGCCCTAAGATTTCTCTACCCTCAACACAGTGAAGAACTTGAGGCGTACTGTGGCAGACTATGTAATTTCCGCCAAAGGCAATGGCAGTGACATGATAGCACCACACGGGCAGGGCAGGTTGCAAAGTACAACATAATTCTTAGAAGCTTTCACAGACCTGGTACTCACAGTCTCCCCAGGACTGGTGGTACAGATACCTGACAGGCAGAATTCTAAGATGGGCTGCCATTCCTCCATCCTTGAGCCTGAACAGGATGGGTTTTACTCTATGATCAGAATATGTTGTATGGCACAGCTAACTTTAAGGGAGATTATCTGGGTGGGCCACATCTAATTCCATGGGCCTTCTAAGATAGACTTTCCTCTGGTTGTCAGCAGGAGAGTAAGTCAGAGCCTCCGACTATGGAAGGGATTCTCCACACTGGCTGGCTTTAAGGTGGAGGGCCCACTGTCAAGGTAAGGGGATGGCACCTTAGAGCTGAAAGCATCCCTTACAGCCAGCAAGGATATAGAGACATTAGCCCTACAACACGAAAATAGTCAATTCTGCCTACAAGAGTTAGCTTGGAAATAGATCCATCCACCATTGCTGAGAACTCAGTCCAGTCAGTTCATCAGCATCAATAGAGAACAAGCCACGCTAATGCCAGAATTCTGACTTCAGAATTGTTGAGCTTAGAAGTGAGTGTTGTGTTGATGGTGGATGTTTGTTACACAGCAGTAGGAAACACGCCATAGACTGAACTGGCAGCCTCAAAATGGCTGTCTTCATGTTTTCACTGAAGGTCTTCATAGAAATGCCTTTCAAAGGGTGAATTTTCTGGTAGAGTAAGGTTAGAACTCCATCAGAAGCCTTTCCCAATGGAGACCACTATGAAGTGCCTTTGAGCAGGATTTACAGTTAATCAGTTGTTTTTCTGTATTTACTTATGAGTCTGTCCCCTAGGCCCCTTGCTTGGAGATGGGTTGTGGATTCATAGTAAGTGAAACTGTACGAATCTCTGGTCCTGGCTGAATCCTGGTTCTTACCCAATTTACTGGATAGAGACTGCAGCTGTAGGCATTTCACTCCTGTGGTAACTCAACCTGGAGATAATATAGTTCTAATTGGCAAAATTTACTACTTGGGAAATTCTGTGTACTGACTCCCAAGGTCCTGCTGAGTTTTCCGAGCCTACCTCAGCATCCCCTTCATTTGAAAACCAAATTAATACTGGCTGCCTGGAGAAGTCCTTTGTCTCAACCCCCAGGGAGTCTCAAATTCCATTAGAGGGTTTTGATCTTCCTGGAGCCCTAAAATCATACCATGTCTCTTTTAAGCCACTCGAGGTCCACCCATTTAGGAGATTGGGGCTAGGCCAAGACCCCCACTACTTTCCCCCACTGGTTACTTGTCTGTAGAACAAAGCCTGTGTGTAGAACAAGTTTGGGACTTTGGTAGAAAGGTTTTCCACAGTCACTGCTCTGACAAGTCCTTTTAGGTTGTGAATTCTGGGTGCTGAATGATGTTGCAGGTATGTCCAAAGGCTTTCCTACATTCATTCCATGCTTACAACGTTACCCAGTGTGAAACTGCTGGTATCAAACAGCTCAGAGATGCAGCTAAAGATGCAAACATGTACTGCCCACATTGGCCTTTTAAACTTTTTTTAAAAAATTTATTGGTGTGTTTTTTTTTGGTGGCGGGAATTGAACGCACGTCTTTGCACTTGCCAGGCAGGTGCTGTGCCACTGAGCTACATCTCCAGCAATTCATTGTTTTTTTTGTT